GTGATCATACAAACATAGTTTCACAGCCTTGAAATATCCTAAAGCATTTCACAGATAGTTTCACAGCCTTGGAATATCACAGATAATTACAAGCTTGAAATATAATCACTATTGTAAATTGTGAGTTGACAAGATTCAAAAGCATCATAAGCATAAAAATAAATTTGATTTTAATGACTGCATCATGCCAATACTAGTTGAGTTTAACCCAACAATGTAACAGTAAAATTTAATTTCCAAAGTTACAAAATATACCTGATTGAAATAATACTAAAATACTTTTTAAATAACTTTGATTTTTAATCATAAAACTTAAGATCACCTAGATTTTCTAATGGTTCAACACTTTCACTGGCTTAGTCACTGCCTCATTTTCAAGTATTTTGTGTATCCCGAGCCTGAGCAGGCAAGCATTGGGATCACACAAGAGATTTTACTGGTGACTAAAATTAGCATCCCTTTGAGGGTGAAAACAAAAAATGCTGTAAATCAGTGGGTCAGGCAGCATCCACAGAGAGAGAGCAAGCTAACGTTTTGAGTCTAGGTGACTCTTCATCAGAGTTCATTCATCCATTTTAGGGTAGCAGCCTGCCTCTCCAAGGCACCATCCCATTAATACTAATAGAGGCAGCTGTTGATGGTCTGATGGTGTCAAATCCACCAAATAGCCATTGCCATTGGAGAGACCTTCCACCAATCAACAACCCCATATCCACTCTAACCTCACCCTTTCCCAGCCGCCTTGATGTACTTTGTGCTCTCCTCATGCAGCAGGGTCAGGGACCAAACCAAAAATTATTTTTAAGCAACCTGTTTGGCCATGTTATGACACACCTCCAGAGCAGGTGAGTCTTGAACCTACACTATTTGGCCCAGAGGTAGGGACATTACCATTACACCACTAAAGCCCAAGGGGACCAGGTCCAATGCTGAAAAAGGTTCAAAATGGCCAATAATAATTACCTCAGTTGGTTGCTCACCTCAGGTCAGTGCCTGGTTGAACCACTGTTCATATGGTGGTAAGTTGTTGGGTTTCCTTCACAATACCTTCCAGCCATTTTACCAGCCCCCCTGCCTCCTAGCCCATCTCCACAGGGCTGGTAAAATCTTTGTCATTAATCTAGTCACCTTTCAGTGACTACCAATTTCTTTATTGTTGGTTATGCCATTCCAAAACGCCTCAAACATCTTCTAATTTAAGTAAACAATGTTTAATCATGAGTACTTTCAGCTGTGACATTGAACATTAACATAGACAAACTCAACAATCATAAATTTAAAGTTTTCACAAATCACTTTTAAAAAAATCAATGGTAAAAGATATCCCATAAAATGCAATGCAAAAGTTGAAAACCTCATTACTGCAGCTTCATACTGGAATATTAGAATGGCTGAAACCATTTTACTTGCAGAATGCCACCATAATGGCTTGAATTCAGGTCTCTATATTTTATTGAACAACTATACTAAAAGTTGTTACTTAATATAATATCAAATCTGAGCATTTGTGAAAAGGAATGCATAAAATAGGTAATGTAAAATTAATTTACAAAGTGATAAGCAATAGATAACAAAAGATAATTACATCAATTGATTATGAAAGATCTTAAAAAATCAACATCATTTCAGTATATAAGCGATATTTCAACATGGAAACTTTTTTTTTGTCCTTTAGCTGCAGCAAAGTTCTGGTACAGTCTTTCAGGAGTAAAACTCTGACATATCTGAACTTCCCCTCAGAATTCTGCTAGGCCATTTAGAAGCTCTGGTAAGATAGCTGGCCATAAATTCAGCTGTGACATTGAACATTAACATAGACAAACTCAACAATCATAAATTTAAAGTTTATGATTTACAAATTTTCAATTCAGGAAAAGCTTATTTGCCTGATGCAATTTTCACAGGTTCATCAATGGCATGATTGCAGTGCAGAAAGATAAAGATTTACAGGCTAAATTTGGAAATACACCCAAGCATAAAGTGGTATTGAAGCTATGTTTTTAGGTTACACAGCAGAAAATATCCATCTTGGGGAGGAAGTGAAGTGAAATGAAAGGCAAAGTTCGTAAAGTGTTTAAAAAATTGAAGTAAAAAGGAAATAGAAATCATATCATGGCGGACTTAACTAGAACCTCTTCTCCATTTCTTTTTATTTGCAGAATGAAGACATTGCTCGCTAGACCAGCATTTATCGTCCATCAGTAATTGCCCAGAAGGCTTTTAAGAGTCAATCACATTGCTGTTGGTCTGGAGTCACATGTAGGTCACACCAGGAAAGGATGGCAGATTTCCTTCCCTAATTGACATTAGTGAATGAGATAGGTTTTTCCTGACAATTGATTCATGGTCATCATTAGACTCTTAATTCCAGAATTTTTTCTTGAATTCAAATTCCACCATCTGCCGAGGCAGGATTCAAACCCAGGTCCCCAGAATATTATCTGGATTTCTAGATTAATAGTCCAGCGATAATACCACTAGGCCATCGCCTCCTCCATTATCTCTCAGTATCTACATTTCACTGTCAAATCACTTGATAACCCTTCAGAGAAGGTATAAACCATCCTAACTGTATTAGAAATAACAACTTCATTGAAAAAAAGTGATTGAGATCCTCATCACTAAAGGTAGAATGTTTTGGCTGAGAATGAGTCAAGTTGAGTCTGGTGGACTGATTCTTACTTCAAGACCAAGCAAGTTAACTTCATATCTTACTAAACTCATTAATTAATATTTGAGCCCTGATGGTGAGAATCACACCTGCTTCCACCCCATTTTATCACGTGCTGTTCACTGAGAAACCTGTGACACAGCATGGTTCCTGCATAAGACCAGCATCCCTTGGGTTCACGCCATCTTTCAAAGCCTGCTGTGCACCGCCAGGAATGCTGCCAATAGAAGTTGTCCTGATTGTTTGTATTAGGAGTCAGCAGAAATGGAAAAGAAGAGGAAGCTGGCACTGAGCGTTTTCTCTTCTCCTTTCATTTCTGTGGACAGATGCAATGGGACTGTAGCCCACCCCTTGAGTGACCTGACCTGCCAGCATTGGTCCAGACACCCGGCTGGTAGACACACAAGTTCCCACAGTGACAGTCCTGCTCCTGGACAGGCCCCTATGGAGACAAAGGACTGATCGTGACTGATTCCCTGCATGGTGACACCGTGTGTCAACACTGTACAACGAATGCCTGAAGCCCAGGTCTAGTATTGGAGTCTGCCCTTAACTAACTGTGCTGTGTATCCTCCACCAATTGACAAATACCCCCATGGACTTCACTGCAGACTACTCTCCTAAGACTTTGAGATATTGCACTGCTTGTTGCAGAAGTTCAATGCAAATCCTAAGGCCACATGATATAAATACTAGAGTGACATGGCCCACTGATGTATGACAAGATATATGCATCCTAGACTGAGGACTGCTTCACAGCCTAGCCACTTGCCTGATTGTGTGACTATGCCAAATTCCCATGCAAGGCACAGCAGGGCAGGGCAAGGCATACATGCTGATGGCATTCCATAGGTGTCATGTGAATGCATGCTGAGAGAGCAAGGCTATGCCCGGGTAGACAGCCTGGTAAAGGGGATGTGATGGGTTCCTTTCACTGTGCAGTACATGTACCTTGTGCGGTACGTGTACCCAATGCAGCCAAGCACTGCTGGTTGCTGATGTGTCCACCTAAACCAGTCTACCCCTGCAGGACACAATCCCAGTGCTGGACTGAACCATGGCTACATCTCTAGACTCAGCTCTCTATTGTTACAGTCATTCACTTTGACCCTACCTGGATGCTTGCAGTATCCCTGCTTGCATTGCTTTGCCCTGCCTTTGACCCTCAGCCACAGATACCGGGCTCATATTACAGCTGTCTTGCCATGCCATGTTGTGCAGTCACAGAGATGGGAATCTTGACATAGATGTGTGCAGGCTTCAGTCTTGTTGTGAGAATAGTTTTCAAGCATAGATTTCCTGCATAGTAAGTCAAGGACAGCCTATGATACCAGTCCAGGCTCTGCTCAGGGTATTCAGTCGAGATGCTCTCCTCATAATGGGTGAGAAATTGATTGAGAGGCAGCACACCACCCATCTTGACTCTTTCTGCCCTACTGTGGCCCGTTCTACTCATGGAAGTGATAGGAGCATGTATTACTGAAGATGGAAATGGGTGGTACAGCTATTACTAGTGGTGCAAGTGGGGAGGGTGTGAGTAGGCAGCACTGGGGCATGCAGGGCTAGTGGTGTCAGGGTTAGGGTGGGTGAGGGTGAATGGGGAGATGCTGCAGGCAATAGTGAGATTGGAAGAGCATGAGCCTTTGTAGGAGGTGGGGACAGTAGCAGAAGTAGAACGAATATGAGTATCGGGGGAAGATGGAGGCACTCATGCTGATGGAGTGGAGAAGGACATGTATCTTTGTCCTCCAGTGCCAGAACATCCTCTAGACAGCTGAGACTACTTTATCAAGGTGGCATCCTCAGACACTGCTGGTCAAGGGGGAACAGGAAGCATCAACCTGTGCAAGAGGACCTCCAGGTTGTTGTCTGTAAGCTAGTTGCCAATTTCTCCTGCCTTGTCAGAGACAACTATCAGCAATGTTGCAGGCAGCTCTGTGCTGACAGTGTTTTTCTAGGTATATGACAGGCTTTTAAAGTTGGCATAAGGTTACAGGATACCAGTGAATTCCAGGATATTACTGAGCAGCAAATTATTTCAGGAACAGGGTGTGGTAATATGAGACGCCATGGCACATGCAAAGTAATTAATGATGCACGTTTAGTAGGATATGGCTAGAAAACTTGCTAATCAATGTGGCCTGACACCCTTAGGCAACTCAGATTTAGCCAAAATACATAAGGCTCCACCCAGAATCCTTCTCATTGGTAAAAGTGTGCAGAAGTACACACACCCACACATATATATATATAACTTCCACCTGATTCATTAGTCAAACTCCATCGACAATTTTTAAGATAAAATAAGTAAAAGAAAGACTCAGTCAAGTTATATTTAAAACAATATTATTTTTAAAAACTTCAATTCTGTCACTGATCGTTTACTGCAGTCTCTGACCTCTAAAGCTGAAACAAATTCTCATTAGTCTCTATCTTCTGGATTTTGATAGTAATACAGCTTGTAGAAACTGTTTTGTGATAGCAACTTCTGTCAGATCCTCTGAACTGACACAAAAATCTATGACAGCCCATCAAAGGATAGATTCTGCCACAACCTTTGCATCTTTGTTATTCTCAGAGTGCTTTTCCTTCATACAAACACACTTGAATAGATCCTTTCCCAAAGTCTTTCTTGCAAAGCAAGAGAAAAGCAACCCACCCATTGAAACAAAGGCTACAGACAAGATAATAAGAATGCCAAAATGTTCTGGTGCCGGCATGATGATAACCATGACAAAACGGAGAAGGTCCATAATACCATTCATGGAGCCCTGAACACCATTTACAATTCCTCTTTTCGATTCATAAACCATTTCTTGGATAAGTTGTGTTACTGTCAGGTCAAAGCTCCATAAACCTGGAAAAAATATTTTAAAGTCAATACATGATTTAGGTTGAAGATGCTACATTGCCACTTGAGGACATTATAGGTTATTTCTCCTGAAAAGTCGAGTTATTAAGGTGAAGGCTGGCAACTGAATATGTAACAAGTACCTTCAGAAAGTTGAAGGAAAGGATATGATAATATGATGCTGTTAAAGTGGAGTAAGAAATTTTGTGTGCTTAAGTAACTACACTGAGTTGATGATAGTTAGCCACAAGATTGTGGGTACGCTCAAGCTGAGTGCATTGTGAAAGGCTCATTCTAAGGCTGTTAACTTTTGAAGGTGAAGATCATACTGATGGGGAAAGGAAAGATAGAAAGTCACACAAGTGTGACCTTGCCCATCCTAGTTAGGTTATTAAACCGTTGGTGGCACCGGTCTGTAGTCATGAGGGTGAGAGGGTCAGCAATCAGTGCAGCCTTTCTCCATATAATGAATGATCTACATTCCCATGAATATGTGTCTTAAAGATCTGAAAATATTTCAAAATTACATAGCCAGTTGCGAAAGAGTCCATTTTATCTATGTATCACCCAGTTACTCTTCAAAAAACCCTAGTAACTAGATTTGTTTAGATTTACAAATCTCATTTGAGGATATCATTTCAGGAGAAATCCATTCATGTTCCAAATCTGGTTGCCCTAATTAGAATAACTTAGATCAAAGATCTAACTTTTTTATTTAACGCCTCCATTACTAGTTTAACCTCAAGTTAATTGACATCACCAGATCTTCGATATTGTGAGTAAATGTTTTTTGCCCATGGAACATTGGTGTCATTGACAAGGCCAGCATCTGTTGTCCAACCCTAACTGTCCTTTGAGTTACTTGCTAGGTCATATCAAAGAGCAGTTAAGAGTCACCCATAATTCTGTAGGTCTGAATCAGAATCCCTACAGTGTGGAAACAGGCCCTTCAGCCCAACAAGTCCACACCGGCCCTCAGAGCATCCCACCCAGACCCATCCCCCTATAACCCACCTAATCTACATATCCCTGAACGCTACGTGCAATGTAGCATGACCAATCCATCTAGCCTGCACATCTTTGGACTGTGGGAGGAAACTGGAGCACCGGGAGGAAACTCACTCAGACACGGGAAGAACGTGCAAACTCCACACAGACAGTCGCCTGAGGGTGGAATCAAACCCAGGTCCCTGGTGCTATGAGGCAGCAGTGCTAACCACTGAGCCACCATGCCAGGCCTACATTCACATGTAGGCCAGGCCAGGTAAATATGGCAGATATCCTTCCCTAAAGGACATAAGTAAACCCAATATATTTTTAATGATCACCATTACTGATAATTCAATTCTGGTTTAATTGATTTAATTCAAAATTCCACCAGATGTTATGGTGGGATTTGAGATTATGTGCCCAGAGCATTTGGGTGGATTTGAACATTTGGATTTCCAGTCCAGCGATACTAGCATTGTAGCATCACCTTCTCTTTTGGTCCTAGTGTTGTTCCTAGACCACTAGGCCTTCATTTAACTGTAAATTCTTTGAAGCTATGAGGTCTATTGGGATTACTACTGTAAAGTCACCTCTTTCTCTAATTGGATGCTCTTCCACTGAATAAAGTGAATTGTCTTACTGTTCAAAAACATTGACTAGAATGCCAGTTTGCCACAGCAAAACTTTAAGTACAGGTATGGCCTGTACTACGTTACAAACATTTTATTGGTGGCTATAGTGGAATTTGAAAGTGTACTTTGCTGTTGCAAATGCTTTTTTTTTAACACAGTGAGTTGGTAAGACCTGGAATGTATAGCCTGAGCATGTGGTAAAGATGGATTGAATCTTGACTTTCAAAGGGAATTAGATGATTCTCTGAAGGAAAAACAAAATGCAGGGCTACAGAGAAAACTTGGGGGAGTGGGACTTGCCGAGTTGCTCTTCTAAGGAACTAGCACAGGCACATCAAGCCAAATGTTACCCTTCTGTGCAATAATCATTCTATGATTTCCAAACGAAAATTATTGACAGTGAAAATCCCTTGAGTATTACATTTAATAGTGAAATATAACAATGATTTAGAAATACTGTATCCACAGTTGTATCTGAATACTGTTATGTACTGCTGAGAAAGATCTGACTTGAGTTTCATACTCAAGAATTCTGCGGGAGGGTTTAAGTTTGGCGGGGGGATGGGAACCAGAGCTACGGATCAGAGAATGGGGTAGCCGGTGTACAGGCAGATACAGCATGCAGAGAATCTGTGAGGAAGGATAAACAGTTGATCGGGCAAAATTGCAGTCAGTGCAACGGGTTGAAGTGTGTCTATTTTAATGTAGGAAGTGTCAGGAATAAGGGTGCCAAACTTAAGAGCATGGATCAGTACTTGGAACTACGATGTTGTGGCCATTATGGAGACTTGGATAACACAAGGGCAGGAATGGTTGTTGGATGTTCTGGGTATAGATGTTTCAAAAGAAATAGGGAGGGAGATAAAAGAGGTGGGGGAGTGGCATTGTTAATCAGGGATGGTGTCACAGCTGCAGAAAGGGAAGTCGTGGAGGAGGGTTTGTTTACTGAGTCAGTATGGGTGGAAGTCAGAAACAGCAAAGGAGCAGTCACTTTATTGGGAGATTTCTATAGACCCCCCCAATAGCAACAGAGACACTGAGCAACAGATTGGGAGACAGATTGTGGAAAGGTGCAGAAGTAATAGGGTTGTCTTCAATTTCCCTAATATATATCTGAAACCTCCTAAATGCAAACAATTTGGATGGAGCAGATTTTGTCAGGTGTGCCCAGGAAGGATTTCTGACTCAATACGTAGATAGGCCGACTAGAGGCAAGGGGCATATTGCATCTGGTGCTTGGGAACGAACGAGGCCAGATGTCAGATCTCTCGGTGGGAGAGCATTTCGGTGATAGTGATCACAACTGCCTGACCTTTACTATAGTCATGGAGAGGGATAGGAGTATTTAATTGGGGAAGGGGGAATTACAATGCTATTAGGCAAAAACTGCGGAGCGTAAATTGGGAACAGACGTTCTCAGGGAAATGCACAACAGAAATGTGGAGGTTGTTTAGGGAGCAGTTGCTACAAGTACTGGATAAGTTTGTCCCACTGAGACAAGGAAGGGATTGTAAAGTGAAGGAACCTTGGATGACAAGACATGTGGAACATCTATTAAAGAGGAAGAAGGAAGCTTACTTAAGGTTGAGGAAGCAAGGATCGGACAGGGCTCCAGAGGTCCACTGTCCACTGGAGTAGTACCAGATAATTGGAGGGCAGCAAATATCACTCCTTTGTTCAAGAAAGGGAATAGGGATAATCCTGAAAATTACAGACCAGTCAGTCCTACTTCTGTGGTGGGCAAATTATTGGAGAGGATTCTGAGAGATAGTATTTATGATTATTTAGAAAAGCACAGTTTGATTAGAAATAGTCAGCATGGCTTTGTGAGGGGCAGGTCATGCTTCACAAGCCTTACTGAATTCTTTGAGGATGTGACAAAACACATTGATGAAGGCAGAGCAGTGGATGTGGTGTATATGGCTTTTAGCAAGGGATTTGATAAGGTTCCCATGGTAGGCTCATCAGAAAGTAAGAAGGGATGGGATTCAGGGAAATTTGGCTATCTGGAGACAGAACTGGCTGTCCAATAGAAGACAGAGGGTGGTAGTAGATGGAAAGTATTCAGCCTGGAGCTCGGTGACCAGTGGTGTTCCGCAGGGATCTGTTCTGGGACCTCTGCTCTTTGTGATCTTTATAAATGACGTGGATGAGGAAGTGGAAGGGTGGGTTAGTAAGTTTGCCAATGACACTTGGTTGATGGAGCTGTGGATAGCGTGGAGGGCTGTTGTAGGTTGCAATGGGATATAGACAGGATGCAGAGCTGGGCAAAGAAGTGGCAGATGGAATTCAACCCAGAAAAGTGTGAAGTTTTGGAAGGTTGAATTTGAATGCAGAATACAGGGTTAATGGCAGGATTCTTGGCAGTGTGGAGGAACAGAGGGATCTTGGGGTCCACGTCCATAGATCCTTCAAAGTTGCTACCCAAGTTGATAGGGTTATAAAGAAAGCGTACGGTGTGTTGGCTTTCATTGGCAGGGGAATTGAGTTTAAGAGCCGCGAGGTTATGCTGCAGCTCTATAAAACTCTGATTAGACCACACTTGGAATATTGTGTTCAGTTTTGGTCACCTCATTATAGGAAGGATGTGGAAGCTTTAGAGAGGGTGCAGAGGAGATTTACCAGGATGCTGCCTGGACTGGAGGGCAGGTCTTATGAGGAAAGGTTGAGGGAGCTAGGGCTTTTTTCATTGAAGCAAAGGATGAGAGGTGACTTTTTCCCAGGGCAGAAATGACTATTACTAGGGGGCATAAATTTAAGATGATTGGAGGAAGGTATGGGGAGATTTCAGAGGTAGGTTCTTCACACAGACAGTGGTGGGTACGTGGAATGTGCTGCCGGCAGTGGTAGTGGAGTCAGAGACTTTTAAGCGACTCTTGGATAGGCACATGGATGATAGTATAATGTAGGGTATGCAGGGTAGTTTGATCTTAGTAGGATAATTGGTCGGCACAACATCATGGACCGAAGGGCCTGAACTGTGCTGTACTGTTCTACGTTCTATGTTATACATTTCTTAGCTTTTGCAATAAAACACCACAGTTTTATTAGATAGCCAGTAAAGAGCCACAAACATAAAATCTGTGGAGATGGTTTTATGTAACTGGGTATTTATTTGCTCATGAGGGCAGGAAGCTTCATTTTCCAGTAATGTATCAAAAAACATGTACTTTATTGTTGCAAGGGATCAAAATTTGTCAAATATTTTCCAATGGAAAATGGAAAAGTAACAAGAGAAAAGACATGAGCCTCTTTCCACTCAATTTCCTGGTGGTTCTCTTCTACCTTACTAGAATAAGCAAGTTCTATGAAATCCCCACATGAAAGAGGATGGTGGTAGCAAACCCACCTAATGTATTCTTCATCAGTGGTGAGGAATCAGCATACAACAAGAATCAATTTGACAATGTTTGTGAGTGGCTTACAGAAAGACAAGGACAATTATCGTTGAGCTTTGTTTGCTTCTCCTTATCACATTTCTTTATAATCTTTCTTCTTAAATTTCTTATTCCCAAGAGCTGTTTTCTCTTTGGACATTGAGAAATTTAAATTCAAATCACTGAACTAAATCCACAGATAAAACTTCAACAAAACTAGCATCAGTAATGGTAACCTTCAAACTATTAAATTACCATATAAAAAATCAACTTGTTGACTATTCCCAGCACACAGTACTGTGTCAAATCTTACCTGTGCACTGAAACAGCCTAGCAAGCCACTCAGACAAAGTGAAGAGGCAGATCACCACCACATTCTCAAGGCCAGTTGGGATGGGTAATAAATGCTGGTCTAATCAGCAACACGTACACATCATTTGACTGAATAAAAAGATCCTCTGACTTCATCCTGCCCTGCTTCTATTGCCAACATCTTTTTATTTACACCTATTTCCAATGTTATAACTCTATCGTGATATTTTATCCTCTCTCTTTGCTTTTCACAAGCTGATCTTTCTGTGAATTCCAACCAACAAATAAGAGTGGCAGAAGTCAATGCCTAAGATTCAACCAATGTCTTAATTATCACTAATGTCTGCCATATCGCAGAACAGATCAACCACAATCTAACTTAATGGTAGAACATGCTTGAAGACTTTTGTGCCCTATTCCAGTTCCTAGGTCCTATTATAGGGCAATTGGAAGACTTGCAGGGGTTGGCAGTGAGAATATTCTTAAATGTTTGGTGTAGCCAAGGGCATAAGGCAGGTGCTAATTTGGTAGAGGCAAACAATCAGCTGCAACAGAAATAGTAGGGGTGAAGAATGTGAAATACCAAACAAAAAGGTGGGATGTTGTATTGCTGACAAGGAGAGCATTTATTGCCCATCTCCAATTGTCCTTGAAATGCTGGTAGTGAGTTACCACCTTGAAACATTACAGTGTGTGTGTCATAGGCACACTCACAACGCTATGCTACTATTACAAACATTTTTTTGGAATGTTTTCTTATTATGTTAATGTGATTTTGTAACACTGTTACTTCTCATGAATTATAACTGTACTGTATGTTCCTGGTATCCTTAAGTGTGCATTACGTTTATACTATGATATACATAAAAAGCGTTATCAAGCTACTTTCTTTATATTACCTACCAACTCTTGCTGACACAGCACCAGCAAAATATAGTGCTATGGAAAGATATTCCTTTATTTCTGTGGAATTTGTCAGGTTGGTTGGTAGTTGTGAAGTTTCGTCATATGGAATGTGTTTGTTAATGAAGGACTGTTTGGTGACAGATGCATTCAAAACATCAGTAGGAAAGATGGTAGTTGTATAGGTTTCCAGCTGATCTGATGCACTTGAATAAAGAGGTACACTCAAATCAAGTGGGCTTCCAGGAGCAAACACGGACGCAATGCATAGTGTAAGGCAAATGATCTGTGCAATACTTGAGAAACATCCAGTATGAATAAGGCCACAATATTTCCTCAATATGGTGAAAAACATAGTTCCTATTAGTCCTGTGAGAGCAGACAATGCCACCATGATGCTAAGTACAGAACTGCTTACTCCTTGTGCATAAGCGTACCCAGTAGTAATTCCATCAAATCCTAGTACAGTCATGTAAAGAAATGAAAGACCCAATGCAGCAAGAAACATTGGTTGTTTATAATAGATAATCCAGCCGTCTCGGAATGTCCTGATTCCAGAAACCAGAGTGCCTTTGATACAGCCTGTTTCCTTGTCATTTCGATTTGTACTGTTGTTATTAATCAGCTCACCCTCAACCGAAACTGTAGCAGAAGCCATTCTTTCATCTTTAAAAGTAGTCTGATTTCGTTCTGAAATGGCAAAGGAGATGGATGCAAGGCAAGGGAATGTTCCAGAAAACTGCAGCAGTACAAAAGTAATGCGCATATTTGCACAATATAACTTGAAAAATATTAAGTTTAAAAACAGTTAAGATTAAAGTCAACATAATGCAATAATGTTTAAATTCTTTTGTCCTAAACAGTCAACTATGCATATCATATCCACAATTTTCCACTGGAGTTTCTCATTCTTGACCTAACACTTCAGGGAGGTATCAGTGGAATCTGTGTTTCCTCTCGTGGGAGAGCTCAAGAACAAGTTAGAGCCAGACCAGTCAGGACCAAAACCAGGAAGCACTACTTCACTAAATAAAAAGCAGAAATCTGGAACTCTCTCAAAAGGTTATAGATGCCGCGTAAGTTTGATATGGGTCAAAGGTGGATTAATAGGATTGAGGTACAGATCAACCATGATCTAATAACGGGCAGCCCAACAAAGGGTCCTATCTGTCCTGCCAACTGGGTCCTGAATGCACAAAGTACAACTGGAAAATTCTGCAAGGAGGTGCTCCTCCAATCAGCCAACACTTCTCTCCTGTATTTGGTGCTAATGGGCTCATTAGTAAACTTATCATGTGGATTTCACAAGCTTCAAAATCTCCCCTCCCCTACCGCATCCCAAAACCAGCCCAGCTTGTCACCTGTTCTTCCTCCCACCTATCCCCTCCTCCCACCTCAAGCCGCACCCCCATTTCCTACCTACTAACCTCATCCCGCCCCCTTGACCTGTCCGTCCTCCCTGGACTGACCTATCTCCTCCCTACCTCCTCACCTACACTCACCTTTACTGGCTTCATCCCCGCCTCTTTGACCTGTCTGTTTCCTCTCCACCTATCTTCTCCTCTATCCATCTTCTATCCACCTCCCCCTTCCCCTCCCCCATTTCTGATGAAGGGTCTAGGCCCGAAACGTCAGCCTTCCTGCTCTTACGATGCTGCTTGACCTGCTGTGTTCATCCAGCTCTGCACCTTGTTATCTCAGATTTTCCAGCATCTGCAGTTCCTACTATCTCAGCTGCAAATGTAGGAGACCCACTGCTTCTGATTGGAGGAGCAGACAGCTGAACAGACAGGGGTCACTGAGTTCAGGCTGAGGCCCGCAGATCATAAATGGCAACAGAAGAAGGGGGAGAATGTGTGAGAGGAAGGCAGGGGAAGGGCAAGAATTTCTGTAAGGAAGGGAGAGTGTGAGTGTGAAGCAGAGGAAAGTTTGTGAGGAAGGCAGTGGGGGAGAGAGGGAGAGAGAGAAAGAGAGAGTGTGAGTGTGTGTATGAGAGGGAGGCTGGAAGGGAGAATGGATAAGTGTAGGGATGTGGACAATATGTGTGTGAACCCAGCATGTGTTTTTTCCTGAAACTCTTGTTTCCTGTTCTGCCAAGTTATATATGTTTTTAACTTGCTCACCAGCTCTAACCTCCGCACATTCCCAACCCCTGCCCCCTCCCTTCATGTGAAAAAAATTGGACAATTCTGATCTAACAACCAGGCTCATGAGACAGAATGGCCTACATTGTTCCTGTGCTCTTAGAAGGTAGTGCTGCTGCAAATTACAGGCAGTGGGCAAAGCCATGGAGGGATTTACAAATAAAGATTTTGAAGTTAACATTCTGGAGAATGGGAGCCAGTCATTATCTGCCCACTTAAAGGCTCAATTAGAAGGTTGCCTGTTGCTTCCCCTGTCACAACCACAACAAATGCAGGAGCAGGTGAGTAGACCTGGGGAGATGTGCTCATTTTACACACCCACCACCCTTGCAACTGCAAAGCAACTCAGGGGAGTGCAAAATTCTGCCCTTACTGTTGAACAGAGTATCCAACAGCACAAAGGCTTTGAAAAGAGGTAAAGAAGCAGGTGGCGCATATGATAGCTGACCCACATATGGAAGATAGCACTGAGTGGCAGCATACTGGTTACAGAGAAAAGAAAACATTTATGAGGACACATTGACTGTATTATATTCGGCAAGCAAGGAACTGCATAATAGTTATCCCATGGATCTAGACAGTGGAGAACAGGCACTGCATAATGATGGTACGGTAAACCAAATTGGATAATAGCAGAGAGGTCAAAAACAAACAGTGAAACACAGAAAATAATAGACATCATCATTTGAGACTTTGGTTAGACCGCTTCAATGCTGGAAGAAGATGGAAGTTGGACTGAAATGTTTAAATAGTGATTTTGGGAGCGATAGACACAGAACTAGAATAACATGTGGAAGACCTCAGAGAGGTTAATAGAAGAGATATATCAAGGCCTAGTAATACCTATTCACATACGTATTAAAAATGGTTTTGAAAGGCATAGGATGATTTCTCAGGAAGTGCTTGGGCAGTGAGTGGATTCAGGGAGCAGAACGTGGGGCTCATAGAAGACAGCATCTTGAAAAGGCCAGAGAAAGTCAGTAGGTGACATTCTTTCTTCTGCAGGCTTATAACCAACGTCTCTGTAAATGTACCATTATCACTTCAAGTAATTCCACATTTCAACTTACATTTCTCCTGAATTTGCTTTTAGATTTATGAGTTGCTACCTTATATGGCCTTCAGTTTCAGATTTCCTCCAAAATTGAAAGATTTTCTCTATATCTATCTTATTAAATCACTTCATAATATTAATCTATCATAACTGTAATATAATCTATCAACTCCTCTCTTAGCCTCTTCTTTTCTGGAAAAGAAAACAATTTCAGTTTCTCCTGCTGGTTGTTCTGTCTCAGTTCTGATATCATTATTATAATTTTCTTTGGACTTTCTCCAAAAAGTATCTGTATGTCTTTTATGACCTGGAGGCCCATGGAAATTGGGAGGGAGTTGAAAGATGCAACTGATCGTGGACAAAGTAAACCTGAAGTATCCTTGCCCTCCAAAAGATAATTAGAGTCATAGAGTCATAGAGCATGGAAACAGGCCCTTTGGTTCAACTCATCTGCACTAACCAGACATCCCAATCTGACCTAGTCCCATTTGCTAGCATTTGGCCCATATCCCTCTAAACCCTTTCTTTTCATTTCCCCATCCAGATGCCTTTTAAATATTGTAATTGTACCTGCCTCCAGCACTTCCTCTGGCAGCTCATTCCATACATGAACCACCCTCTGCAAAGCTAGCCCTCGGGTCCTTTTTAAATCTTTCCCCTCTCACTTTAAACCTATGCCCTCTAGTTTTGGACTTGCCCACCCGAGGAAGAAGACCTTGGCTATTCACCCGATTAACATCTCTCATAATTTTATCAACCTCTATTCTGGAGCTAATGGTGATTTTGGCAAATTGAGTGTATGGTATATATGATAAATATGCAATTTCTCCATGTAGAAGGCAAATAATATCATTGAAGGAACATTAGAAACTAAAGAAACATGCATAAAATTTCTTGGAGGGTTTTCTGGAATGGAAATTAGCATAATTCCCAGAGGAATACCTAAGAAGTGATTTTTGACCATCATCCACCAAAGTTATGGCAAGAAATTGAGAAATCCCATAGATATTCACTTCCATAGCAGGGAACTAATTCTTTTTGCTGTTTGGGTTTCAGAACCATTTCGGTTAAGACATCTAAGCAGGATTTGTTGAAATATACTACAAAAGTATTGTTAAACACCACAGTTCAATTGCAATACTAGCTTAGGCTCTCTCTGTGCCATAATGACAAAATCGACATCCTTGTTTTTACAATAGGCATTCTTGCTTTTTTAATCAGAGGTAGTCTGTCACCAGTCTGCAATCAGTGCCAGAGAACGTATGTTTTTCATAAACTTATTATTTAACCAATTCAATACCTGATTTTAAAAAGCACAATTTTCTGATTAAATATTTTTAATGAGTTAATTCAATAAAAAAAGTGCAAATACAACTGGTTAGAGAATTATTTTACTTACAGCTAACTTTTTCAAGTGGTTTCTCATACCTGAAACTTCTTCCTCCTTGTTCTGGTTATCACCTTTTTTTGCTAGTCCTGGAGTCATTTTATAAATTTTTTGCAGCAACAAATATTCAAAACACATGGAGAACAAATTCCAACCAGCTATAAAGCCACATCCAACTACAGAAGAGCTAAAAGTCATGATCTGGCCCACAGCCATTGGTGAAAGCAGTTTGCTGAGAAGATCAATTTGCCTCAATGTAGCATTCATGCCTAGAAAAGCAAAAGCAAATCTTGATTTAGTAATTTTCAGGTATGAACAGTATTCTACACCGTGTTTATACGAATAACTAATAAAATTCAGATTTCAGACTTGTGAGAAGTGTTGAATGATCAGGATCGTATTTTTACCCCGAACTTCTTTTCATATCAAAGCCGAATTTTCATCATCTATGACAGCCATGGACTACTTAAAATTAAACCTATGCCCTCCAGTTTTGGATTTCCCCACCCAAGGAAAAAGGTCTTAGCTATTCACCTATCCACATCCCTCATGATTTTATAAACTTCTGTTAAATCCACTTGAAACTTTTGTATAAAATTTCTCTACCTGTAAGATTTGTTTAAACATTCTGCTGAATGGTCCACACCTGAGATGCCATAACATCATTTTACAGATGCTGACTGATCAGTTGTAAATTTACATTTTCTGCATTTATTCTAGATTTCCATATTTACAGTTTTCCTTTTTTATTTTATTCAATGTTAAACATTGTACTTTGAAAGACTTATAACTTGAAATATTTCAAAAAAGGTGATTTTAAAAAATAATATTGGATGTACTAATTTAGGAAAGATCTTAAAGCAAACAAAAACGTTACTTAAAACAATGTTAAGACTGTATAATTACAAAAACGGCAGAATTCACTTTATTTGAGATTTGTTTAATGTTGACCAGAAAACATTTCCAAAAATCTAAATTATTGGAATGAAAACATAATGTCCAGGACTAATCTCTTTGAAAGGAAAGCATATTTCACTTTTATCAGTGCAAAATACCCAGATTTTGAAGAAAAAATATAGAAGTGACACTACTTTAAGAAATTTGGGACCGCTGAGTTCTCATGCACAGAAGGAATATGTCAATCTTTTTTCAAACCATAATATAGGAATTCTTCTACCAAATGAGGCAAAATAATGCACATTTAAACAGTTTTATCAACACTATTTCAACTATATTAATAAGAAAATCTGTAAAATATTGAGCCATGACATTTCAGCTGCATAGTGTCACAAATATTTCATTCATGGTTCACATTGCCCCTCCCGTCACAGGCTGATTGTCTCCTACATATTCGGCTGATAGGTTCAAAGTGAGCGTATCAGCAGCATGCACAAGAGGGAACCAGCTTGTGATTGGAGGAGCAGCTCCTCACCATTTCCCTCCCTTTTATTTATGGGAGCAACATTTCCCAGATTGGTTGCCCTCATGAGTGGATTTTCCTAGGTAGTGTGGGGATTTCCAGGGGCAGATCCATCTGGCACCTCTGTATATTTTGAGCACTGCATCCAGAGAGATGTTTTGTTCTGGATTTTGAGTCAAATTAAAAATTAAATGAACCCCAAAAGATTGTAAAACCCATTTATGAAATCAGATTAAAAGAGAAATTGTAAATGAGGGATAATTAATCTAAGGGTCAACCAGAAGACATACCATTGCTGGTGGAGTTTGGGAGACTTTTTTGGTTTGAATTTATTAGGGTCTTTGCTGAGATCTACTTACAGTTTGAACCTTTGGTTATTTGCCGCTCACAAAGAGAATACCAAAGTAAATGGAAACTGAGTAAGCCACAAACATCATATTTGACCACGTCTAGTTTAGCCTGAATCTCAGATTGAATTTTGTGAGGAACAGGAGTTTGAAGATTGTCTAGTTTCAAACTAGTGGTAATATCTACAGTGGGACTCCTGCTGCCTCACTGGAAAATAAATTAATCAACTGCATTAACTTGGAAATATTAAAAACTAAGCTGAATAAGCAACTGTTATATATGTAAAGTACATAAAAATTGATCTTTGAGAAAGCCTGGAGCTGAGGAAAATTCTCCAGAGGATGGAGCATATTTATGAGTGGTCCCTCACATATGCAGAAGTAAATAATTTTAAGATTGATGTATCTTATAAGAGAATTCTTGGGGGAAGTAAGAGGTTAACCCATGTCCGTAACATAAGTAATTATAAGCCTTTGTGCTAAATCACTTGTACTTGCTTTGTTTAATTGATCCATTTAAATTTGTGTTTTGTCTATAAAAAGTGAAATCGTCTGATGTGTTCCTGTTAGTAAAAACAAGTTGTTTGGATTTCTTTTGAAAAGTGAATGGTCTCTAACAAGATCATAACAAAATCAATCTATAGACAGTTAAGAAAATCTTACTGATAAAATGATTTTCGACAAGTATTTTAAATTAAGATCAATGTCTATTGTAGCCTAGTGCTGTCACAAATGCGGAAAATCTTGTCTCATTCTGCTTTCATATGAAAACAGGTTAACAGAGAAAATATAGTCCCAAATGTATGTCATTTAATTTTTCCAGGAAGTCTGAAATCTGACTTTTGCTTTGAAGTAAATAAACCTCAATTGATTTTGTAATATCGTCAAAAATAAACACAGAAACTTTATTTGTAGTATCCTTTACATAATACAATTGCAACTACCTAGCATGGCAGATGGAGAAGTGCCTTCAGGAAATTTATCATGTCAAGAATTATCCTGACTGGTTGTTGGTAAGTTTTATGTACATCAGACAGACAGCAAGAGAAAGGACACTACACATAGTAAGGGTAAGCAGGTCAGCCAAGGGACAGGGAACAAAAATTCATCAGCTAGTGAGAAAATGCACACAGGCAATGACAGCATGCATCTCAAAGCCATGGTGGAGAGGTGAAGCACGTGGTTGATAAGTCACAGGAAAGACATGCTTAATGGGCACACAAGGAAGAGGAGAATACACATTGAACCTGAGAAAACACAAACAGAGGATGAGAATGCTTTGGGCAATAAAGACGTGAGGCAGATACAGAATTTAAAACATAGGGATGGGTTAGTATAGATTCAATAAGCACAGATGGAGGAAAGAAGTTAAAGAATGCATGCAAGAATTTTTACTCACACATACTAAAAGCAAAACTGCCAAAATTAATATTGAAAGCAAGATCATTTTATGGAAATGCTAAATCACAAGTAACTTTGTGGACATTTCTGCAATTACTACCTTTGATTCCAAAGTGAAAAACGAAAATGTATATCTTTTCATCAACCAAGAGACTGTATTTTTTCAAAAGAGCTATGATAGTTACTTGATAATTTGTCACTGTCACCAGCAACCACTATAATCCAATCCCGTTGGATTGCAATTGACATTGCTGTGCTAGCCAGGTCTGCAATCACACCAACGATGATCACAAATGTGTAACAAACAATCTGTTAAACAAGAAGTAAATTGATTAACATTAAGCAAGAAAGTTAACTATATAGTGTCTACAAAGTGTTTCATGCTCATGTAAAGCAAAATAACATTTTGAGAGTAGGGAATTCATGCAAGGCCAACTGTTAAATGAAATCACTGCCACTTATGGAATAGTTGTTTGTTCTTAGTGTTGAAGACAGCCATTTACTTAGGACATGTGAACCCCTTAATACACCAGTGTACTTGAATAGTGTAAAATCTGCAACTCTCAGTACAACTGTATTCTTGAGCATGCTCGTAGCATAACCACATGTCATGAAATGTAAGATGACCAAACCATTTAGCCTTTTCTTTAACGGAACCATTAGCCCAGAAAGTAAACCTGACTATCAGGTACAATTAGGATTCTACTTACTGCCAATTGGACTGATGCATTTAAAGTAACTAAACTTGCCTATAATCTTAATACAACATGTAAAATTCTTAAGTGACTTGATAGAGTAACAATTGGGGGAATGTTTCTCCTTGCTGAGGAATCTAGAACCAGGGTATACAAAGTCAGAAAAAAAGGATCAGCTATACGATGGAGAAGAGAGGAAATTTCTTCACTCAAAGATTTCTGGATCAATGTAATTTACTATCCTAGAGAGCTTTGTACGTTCAATTGTTGAATTGAATTACACCTGCCAAATTTTTGCCCACTTACTTAGCCTATCTAAATCTCCTTGATGTGCCTTTGCATTCTCCTCGTTAAACTAGGTGAAAGTGTCAGTTATGTTATCTATAAACTTAGAAATACCACATTTAATTCCCTATTCGAAATCATTGATATAGGTTGTGATTAGTTGGTGCAGAGCACTGATCCTATTATTACCCCACTGGTCAAAGGTGCTAAACTGAGAATGAACTTCTTATTCCTACATTTTGTTTTCTGTCTGTTAGCCAGTTCACAATCCATGCCAGAATATTCTGAACATCCCATGTGCTCTTACTTTGTTTAATTACTTCATGTATAGAACCTTATCAAAAGCTTTCTGAAAATCTAATTATATCACATCCACTAGACTCCCATTTCTAATTTGCTAGTTACATTCTCAAAAATCACCTGCAGATTTGTTAAGCGTTATTTCCTTTTCATGAATTTCTGTTGTTCTGATACAAAAATAGAAATTGCTGGAGAAACTTAGCAGGTCAGGCAGCATCCGTGGAGAGAAATCAGAGTTAATGTTTCGGGGTGAGTGACCATTCCTCAGAACTGATGTTGTTCCAGTTTTAGCATCAGCATTCCTTTGTCTCACAATCTTCGGTTAATCTTTCATCATCCCTGGAAGTCTCCAATTCCCCTGTCTGCTGCCCAGATTTTCTGCTGTTCTTTCTTGATTTATCCCTTGTTCCTGTCCCCAGTTAGTTGGCTTCTCCAACCAACAGAAAAGTGAAAAGAAGCCAGAAAACCTCAATGATATGAGGCTTTAGGATAATAAATCTGATCTGAGGGCTAACACAGGTAACTGACAGGATTGGTGGCAGCACGGCAACAGAGAGAAAAGAGTCAATAGAAAAGAGATAGGAAAAGAGTAAATAGTGACTAGGAAGAGAGAACAAGATGTGTCCAGAGAGGACTGTGTCAGCCAAAACAGGGCTTACAGAAATGGATACACCAAATATGGTGAGTGTGTTACTGAAAGGACAGTACACATAGCAAAATGTAAAAGAGAATATAGGATGAGGAGAAAAACCTCAGCCAATTTGGTTCACTTCTCACGGTATCAAGAAATGGCTGAAGCAGCTGGATACTGCAAACACTGTGGATCCTGACAACATTCTTGCAGTGACATTGAAGACATGCTCCAGAACTTGCCGTGCCCTTAGCCAAGCTGCTCCAGTACAGTCACAATACTGGCAGCCACCCAAAAATGTGGAAAATTGCCAAGGTAAGTCTGGTCCACAAAAGGCAGGCAAATCCATCCTAGCCAATTACTGCACATCAGTCTACACTCAATCATCAACAAAGTGATGGAAGGTGTGATGAAACACTGTTATCGCATGAGACTTAGTCAACAATAACCTGCTCTCTGACAATCAATTTTGGTTCTACCAGGGCCGCTCAGCTCCTGAATTCATTGCAGCTGCGGTCAAAATATGAACAAGACAGCTGAACTCCAGAGGGAAAGTGAGTTTGATTGTCCGTCACTTCAAGGCAACATTTGACCAAGTGTAGTAGTAAGAAGCCTTAGTGAGACTGGGGGATCAATGGGAAATCAGGGGTAAACTCTATGGTTGGAATTATACCTAGCAGAAAGGAAGACAGTTGTGGTTATTGGAGATCTGTTACATCAGCTCAGGGCATCTCTGCAGGAGTTCCTCAGGGTAGTGTCTTAGACCCAACCATTTTTAGCTGCTTCACTAATGACATTACCTCCATTGTAAGACCAGAAGTGGGAACATTTGCTGATGATTACCCAATGTTGACTTCCATTCGTGACTCCTCAGATACTGACGCAACTGTAGCAGGACCTGGACAGCATCCACACCTGGGCTGATAAGTGGCATGTAACATTCACACCACAAAAATGCCAGGAAATGACCATCCCTAACAAGAGAGAATCCAAGCATCGCTCTTGATATTTGCATTACCGTCACCTAGTTCTGCACCATCAACATTCTGGGAGACATCTCAAAGCCTGTCCACCACTTACAAGGCTCAAGCCAGGTATATGATGGAATATTATAGATGTTTGGATGAGCGCAGCTCCAACAATACATGCAAATCTCAACATCATTCTCAAAATAAAGCAGCTTGCTTGACTGGCACCCCATTCAACATTTACAACATTCACTCTCTCCACCTATGACACACAGTGACTGCAGTGCATATCGCTTATAAATGCAGTGTATGTCACTTATAGAATGCACTTCAACAACTCACCAAGGCTCCTTAAACAGTACCTCCGAAACACACAACCTCTAGCCTGTAGAAAGACAGAGCTGATAATGCACAGGAATAGCATAACTGCAAGTTTCCTCCAAGCCACATGCCATCTTGATGTGCAATTATATCACATGGCTTCATTGTTGCTGGGTCAAAATGCTGGATCTCCCTCCCTTACAACAGCATAAACGTACCATTAATCATTGTCTGCAGTAGTTCAAGAAAACTACCTACTACTATCGTCTCAACGATAATTCAGGATAGACAAGAAATGCTGCCCTAGCCAGAAATGTCCACCTCCTGTGAACAATTTTTTAAAAAAGTATTATGTGCCTTTGAGTCAGAAGGCTTTTGGCTCAACTCCCACCTCAGAAACCTGAACACAAAATCTAGGTGATAGTTCCATGCAATAGGCAGTCAGAGGCTCCTACCTTTTAAATGAGACATTAAACTGAGGCACTGTTTACCCTCTCTGATAAATATAAAATGATCCATTACACTATTTTGACAACTACAGCTGTTCTACCTGGTGTTCCAGCTAATACTTAACCCCTAGTCATCACTCACTAAACCAACACATTGATCACTGTCTGACCATTGCCACATTGTTGATTGTAAAGTTTGTTGTGCACAGATTTACATCACAGAAGTGACTAACCTCTAAAATACTTAACTAACTGTAAACTACAATGGGTTATTCTGAAATGACAGTCGATGCTATATAGAAATTTGGGCCTAGGAGTTTGGAAGTGCCCAGTAAGCATCCTGAACCCTTAAAACCACGAGAGTAGACAATTGCTGTACACTTAAAAATGTACATATGTTTGATGTAATTTCCAATAAGTCCTTTCAGCTCCATATTCAAGGCATGTAGTACTGTGTTTCAGGTCTACAAAAATCAGCTCTAACACTCTATAATTTTCTATACTTTCTCTCCTGTTGTCAAACTGTCCTTTTTTTAAATTACATCATCCAGATGACCTACTTATAACTTTACCCAATCTATATTCATTGATAGCCTTTTCCTCCCACCTACCCAATTCTTTCATTTTGAGACTGCTGTCCACAGACAGTCGTTTCCCACCTTCGCAACAGCTCCTATTCCTAAATAGCAGGCTAAAAAGTTGCATTCCCTGCCACAACTAAAATCAGGTTTAGATTCAATGCCTTTTGTGGCCATGGTTGCTATTTGACCTTAAATGAACAAACGGTTTCCTATTTTGGTGCTGAGAAAGCCTTCTTTATATGAGGGAGGAAAAGTAATGAAAGGTCACAGATTTCCTTCTTTAATACCACAATCCCGTCCACTAACCCATGTCTGCTCTTCCTCTTTCTGTTAACTCTTGCCACTCCCACTCTGCTCCCAAATATTTATGCCTCCTCCCTTATGTTTCATCAAGGACTGAAACCATATTGCGAACTTTAACTAAGATCTACATTTTTAAAGCATTGAGTATACTGAGTAAAAGCTTACTCAATACTTTAAAAATAACTTGTAACCAGTTCCTCAACTATCTATAAATAATGAATGCCACACAAATAAAATTATAGCACTTTTCTCAATATTAATCCACAAATCTCTTCTCACTGTTGCCAAAGGATGTCCATTGTGGGATTGTGTCCAGAATGTGAAATTGTAAATGAGTGGCTTTTGTTCTTGTATATAAATATACAATGAATATTATTTTTTTCTACATGTCCAGGGCATTTTGGAAGATGGTGTAGGTATGCAGGTAGGTTGGAGACATGGAAAAGTATTCTGAAGAAGTGCAGAGTAATATGTTTTTAACATTGCTCAATGGATTCTTTACAGCAATAAGGAGTGGGAAGTGCTATGTGGCGGTATGGTGTTGGGCTGTTGATTAGAGATGTGTTTGATTGTTAGTGTAGTATAAGCAGGGTTACTAGGTCTAGGAAATCTAAGTATATTCTAGCATTCTCACACCCAGTCAACAGTTACCCAAGACCAAGCTCCCACTATTTCAACTCTCAAATAATACTATCAGTTCTCTTCGACCCAAGATCGCTCCCACTAATAACCAAGGCTTTCCCCTATCCAAAGTCCAACATCAGGCTACTACTTGGCTGTTCCCATTTATTGCTCCACAGAATCCATTTAGCACTACTAAAAACAGAGAAAAAATATTTTCCTAGACAAATTTGCAATTCATTCAAAGTTTGTCATTATTTTAAACACTCGTTATGCGTTGTTTGGGTAAACGTTGAGAAAATGACATTAATAACAATTAGGAGCACAAAGAAATTAGTATAAGAATAACAGCATATATTCTCAACAAAAAAAAGCCTTCCTTGACAAGCAAAATTTACACTTACTTACCTTCATCCAACCATTCCATAGGATTGTGATCTTAGTCTCATAAACAAATAACAACATAAGCACTACAGCACATAAGATCACTGAGAGATTCTGGATAAGAAGAGCAACTTGTACAACTAAAATTCAAAAGAATAGAAAATACTGGTTAACATTTAAAACATCAATAAATAAGATTGTTGTTACTTTACTTTATTAATGGTCATCATTAACTTTATTTTCTGCATAATAAAGCCATCAAACCTTCCATTCTGGTATTTCTGTCAACCCAGTTTCCAACTAAGGCACCAAAGAGTATAAGTGATGAAGAAACAGCCAAACCAAACACAGCTGGAAGCAGCAAGCTATTTTCATAGAGTTCCACCAGGAAAAGTGAGACAGCAAAATGCCACATGCGATCGCCCTAAGGAACAAAATGCAAATGCATTATAACACATTCAGATTTTTAAAATATATATATTCTTGGCGGGTGGGGGGAAAGAACAAAAAATATTGTCACCTGCCCTTTCTAGGGTTCCCTGAACCATAAGAGAAGATATTGTGTTCCCATCCCTCAGGAAACACAGATTAATCTGAAAGTGGGTAGGGGGAAGTAAAGTCACTTAGCTAACACAGTTCGAACAGAGAATGTAAGATATGGGAGATAACAAGGTGTAGAGCTGGATGAACACAGCAGGCCAAGCAGCGTCAGAGGAGCAGGAAGGCTGACGTTTCGGGCCTAGACCCTTCGGGTCTCAGATTCTCCAGCATCTGCAGTTCCTACTATCTCTAAGATATGGGAGACTGTGGACATGAATGGATAGCTCAATATTCTGCAGCAAACAATATTTAGACTAAGAAATCTAAAGCTGTAATATACATATAAAAGAAAATCACTCTATGATGAATAACTTTCATTTTGCTGCATTTTAACATCTTCTGAAACCTATTTTCAGGGTATGCAGAGGTAAAAGTGACTAATTTCCTTCTCAGATCGGGCGTATAGTTCTGTTCAAACTGCATTTTACTGAATGGCAGCATCTACTTTCCAACTGCTGTCTTAAGATAAAGGGTTCCCTTGTAATTCATTGCTAATTGTAAAAATAAACTGGTATTTTACACCGTATCTATAAAGAATATTTGTGTAGTTTCTTGCACTTTAGCAGCATGTTTACAATTTGAGCAGCTTAAATAATAATTTGTGTTGATATATTACTTCAAAACAGTTGATTCTGAGACGATTTAAAATCAGTTTACTACATTTCATACAATGGAATAGTAATATAGTTAAAGTTAAAGCCATAACAAAGGCTCATGAAAAGGCTTGGCCAAGAAAAATAACTTTTCATATTTTTAATTAATATTTGAAAATTATAGTTTAATAATCCATTGTGGTAAATATAATATAAGAATCTCTACAAAGTTTCAAATGTACAATGGTGTTGAATGAAGTCACTCACCCATGTAGATAATAAATGAGCCAGGTAGATAAAAAAGTGAGCTGATTGCAAGAACCTCCAAGTAGAATCTATATTTAAAATAAAATGTTATAGTTTACTTTTTTAAAACAACCTTGATTGTGAAGGAATAATTAAATGTTTTACCTAGTCCCTTTAAACATCCTTCCTTTTTATTTCTGCCACGATGTGTGCTTATGCTAACAGAGGGCTCTTCTTCTATTTCAAAATCCATGGATAGTTTAAAAGCACCTTAAACATGAAAAGACCAAAAAAAAAATTAACTGTACAACATGCATTTATATTATAAAGCCACTTATTTTTCTCAAAATAAACCAGTCCCAAAAGTAAATAAAATGAACACTGCTATTTATTGTTGGACTTGAGTCCTGGAACTCCAAACCTAACTACCCATATGGAATGCAAAATTTGAAGAGGAGGCTCATTATCACCTTCTCAGCAACAGTTAGAGATGGACAATAAATATTGGCCCTGCCAGTGGTGTTCACATCGCATGAACAAATCCAAAAAGGAAATTGGGAGCAATTAATTCACAATTTCCAGATGTCAATTTTATATTATCTGATGCTGCAAAATTCAATTATACTTATCCATTAATAAGACATATCATTATTGTCTTGGAGCATTTAAATTGTAGTTTACTGAATATTTGGTATAATTCTTGTTTGGTTTTGTTAGACCTGAGATATCCTGGGATTATTTAAAGTTCATCAAAGATAAATGGCCCAACAAGTTACTAAGTGTTAGTTTCCCCCCATGTAGCAATAAGTAATCAAAAAGGCTAATGAAATGTTGGCCTTTATCGGTTTTTTTAAGTTGACATAAAATAAATTTTAGTTGATTGTGGTAACTAGAAATATGGAATAAAGGTGCACAAATGGAGTTGAGGTACACGTCAAGCATGATCTAACTGAATGGTGGAACTGACTTAAGAGGCTGAACTGTCTACTCATATTCTATTATGATATGTAAATATATATTTATTTTAAAATTGGTGTTGCAACTTATAAACCTCAAAATATCATCAGGTTTTATTGACTTATCTACCAGCATTTCAATAAATTATATATTAGTGAGATTAAATGCCCTAAATATTTTGATCTGCATTTGGTAATCAGCCAATGCAATTTACATGACTGTTTTAAGTTGAGTGCAGTACTAACAATTATGGTAGATTGGAATTGATGTTTGGAAGAGAAACAGGAAGCTGTTAATTGAAGCACTCCTTAATGAGCTGACGTAGACAATTTTAGGGCGTTTCTCCTTATCAAGAACACAACTAGGATATACCATTAGGAGAGAAATAAAAGATTTCAAAGAGGCAAAGATATGTGGCAAATGCAAATTAATATAGCTCAGTGTAAGTAATGCAAGTTGTGAGGAATCCCAAGGGGAAGGACTACATGCTTAGAGAAATAAGTTTCAGGTTGTAGATGCACAAAAATATGAGCTCAAATATATAACTTAGTGAGTTAACAGACAGTTTTAAATAAGATTTTGATTGGAGAAAAGCTAACTGGGAAGTAAATCATCATAGAGAGCAAAATGCAAATGTACACAACAGAAGCAGATATAGGCCATTTGGCCCCTTGAATGTGCTCTGCCATTCAATGGGATCGTGACTAATATGTTTGTGATCCAAATGACACATTTCCATCTATACCCTTTTCTTCCCTTGCCTAACAAGAATCTACCTCTGTCTAAAATACTTAATGATCCCAACTCCACCTGCCCTCTGAGACAGAAAGTTTTGAAGTTGCACATCCCTCTGAGAGAAAAGATTTCTCCTCATCTCTGTCCTAAGCGTAAACGCTACTTCTGCAGCATCCTTTCCAGATGCGAGCAGAATATCCATCTTGACAAGGAAATTCAGGATCTTACAAATTTCAATCAAGTCACCCCTCATCTTCTAAACTCCAGCGGAAACAAGATAGCATGTCTAATCTATCCTCATAAGACAACCCATTGATTACAAATATCAATCTAATAAACTTCCTGTTAACTTTCCTCCAATGCCTTTCTGAAATGAGGAGATCAAAACTGCACATAATATTCGAGATAAGGTCTCACCAATGCCCTGTAGAACTGAACCACAGCACTTTTGCTTTTATGTTCCAGGGTCCAGACCTGAAACATCAGCTTTCCTGCTCCTCTGATGCTGCTTGGCCTGCTGTGTTCATCTAGCTCTACACCTTGTTATCTCAGCCTTCTTTATGTGTTGTACTTGCATACTAACATTTTGTGACTCATGCACTAGGACACTTAGATCCCTCTGCAGCTCAGCATTCATTCTCCATTTAAGTAATATTCTGCTTTTATTTTATTCTTCCTGCTGAATTGAACAGCTTCACATTTTCCCATATTATGTTCTATCACCTGATTTTTGTCCACTAACTCAACCCATCTATATCTGTCTGCAAACTACCTATGCCTTCTTCATAACTTTGTTTCCTACCTCTCTTTATGTGTTTGCAAATTTATGCTTTGCCCCACTCATCTAAGTAATTGATGTAAATTGTAAGAAGTTGAGGCCAGCATAAACCCCTGTGGAATACTATTCGTCATATCCTGCCAATAACAGAAAGACCCATTTACGTGTTTTCTGCCAGCGAGCTGATTTTCTAGCATATTACGATATTACAACTTATACTTTGAACTTCAATTTTCCACAATAACCTTTGATATGTGACCTTATCAAATGCCTTCTGGAAATCCAATTACAGCATTTCTACAGGCTCCCCGTTATACACAGCACATGAAACTCCTTCAAAGTACTCTAATAAATTGATGAAACTTGATATCCCTTTCACAAAACCTTGTTGGCTCTGTCTGATTACCTCAAATCAAAGTGCCTTGTTATAATGTCTTTAACAAAAGATTCTAATATCTTTCATAATACAAATGTCAAGATAATGGCTTATATTTTCCAGTTTTCTGTCTCCCTCCCTTCTTGAATAAAGAGTTTATATTTGCTACTTTCTAGAATGATTAAAAATGACTGAATTGAAGGAATTTTCGACAATTAAACCAACGTATTATTAAGAAACTTCTTCAGCTAGAGGATGGTGAATACGTGAAACTCATTGCTACAGAAGGCTATGGAGGCCAAGACATTGAGTGTATTTAAGACAGAGAAAGAAAGGTTCTTGATTGATAAGGGGATCACAAGTTATGGGGAGAAGGCAGGAGAATGGGGGTTGAGAATCATATTAGCAATGATCAAATGGCTGAACAGATTTGATGGGATGGATGGCCTAATTCTGCTCCTATATCTTATGGCCTTAAGATCATAGGATGAAGTCCAACAGGATGCAGGAGTTGTCAGCCCTTACCTCCAACAATTTATTCAGGACCACTTCCCTGCTGAGTGTAATTTTATTGAGTTCTGAAGAAATATCATTTGACTCAAAATGTTAACAATGTTTCTGTCTTTGCAGAAGCTGCCAGACCTGCTGAGTGTCTCCAAAACTTAATGCTTTTATTTCAGATTTCCAGCATCTGCTGTATTTTACTTTAGTTCTTCAAAGAAACTGATTGCCTCTTCAAAAGAAACGGAGGGTATGTCTGAGCACTAAATTATATAACCAATTACTTTTGTCAGAGTAAAAGCACACAACTCAGTGTACTTTGTTAATTAAGTATTTGTGCAAATGTACGTATTGTTGCAAACTTTTGGTAAATTTTCTTCCTTAAAGTTTATTTCTTGCAATAAAGCCTTTTCTTTTTAAGTCGAGCTATTATGTAGCTAGGCAAATCAAGTGACTAAAGATGTTTCTGAACCAAATATTCTGCTTGCAGGTTAGTGTCATTTGATTCCATTCAAATCTTGAAACTGGTTTTACTTTGAAATTAGATTTACATTCATCCTCGCTATTGCCTTCCTGTCCAAATGCTTGCTTCAGTGCAACCTGTGCCAGTGGTTTCTGAAAATCAAAAGTATAAGCTAAAACATTTATTTAAAATGTTAAGGATGAAATTTGACAAGTGAAGGATAATTTCCATCTACTGACATTCAGTTTACTATTGACAATGCCAACAAAATCAGCTGCAAGTTATGATTTCGGGCTCTTGGAGGCAGCACATGTCTATCAAAATCTGTAGCAAAAAAAAATGCAAAGCAAAATCCAGCTGGAGGCACGTTTTTACATTTTTACAAGCTGAACACCAAAAATTCTCGCAGCCACATCCTTGAGGACGAGCCAACCAAATACTTCCTCATTGTGGCTGGCCTGTCAGATTTTTCCCTACCAAATACTTTGCCCTCTGATGTAATGTAAATCTAGTTCATTGTAAACATTGTTCAACCTGACCGACAGTTCAGACAACTGCGAAAGTAAATAGAAATAGAAAGAATTTAAGTGATACCAGAAGATCGATTTTTTTTGTCAATAATTAGCAGGCTGAACAGCTTCACTACTCACTCAGCGTACAAGATCACTATCAGTTGCAGGCTCCGGGGGGTTCGACAGGCGCCACCGCAGAGAAACACTTGTCTCGCAAGCCAAAAAGCTCAAGTCGGTCATGAACTGGTTTGCGCCGTTTTCTTTCGAAAGAGTTTTGGCATTTGATTTCTATCAATACTTTGTGGACCGAAGTTTGAAGCATGGACACCTCAAACCCCCAATTATGCTCCTCCAGAAATTCTTCCGGCAAAATAGACGCATGCATGGCCTTCTATTGTTAGTGTAAAACAATTAAGGCAAACCGAGTTACCAGAGTTTAAATATTGAGTATAAGCGGCTAGTTACTCATTGTTGATGAGGCAATGGTCTCAGAACCATGAAAACTACTCACGCATATCGCCAGAGGTTAGTTTCAGGTCATTTGGGCTGAAACCGGGTTCAACAAAATGTGCATAATATCATATGCCAAGTCTTAGCCTTTCGAAAGAGTACGGAAGAGGTTTACCAGGATATTACCACAGATGAAAGTCTTCAGTTATGAGATGTTGGAATTGTAAAGAATGTTCTGTTTAGAACAGAGGAGCTTAAGAGGCACCAGTGTGCTTTTGAAGATATAGAGTTTTAAAAGTAAAAAAGACCTGTTCCTTCAGGTGGAATGGGTCAAAACCAAGTGTTTGAGTACAAGTTGCTGATTACAGGATGATTTAAAACCCAAAAGAGCTTCGGATGCTGTAAATCAGGAAAAACAGAAGTTGCTGGAAAAGCTCAGCAGGTCTGGCAGCATCTGTGAAGAAAAAACCAGAGTTAATGTTTCGGGACCGGTGACCCTTCCTCAGAACTGTTAGGAAGGTCACTGGACCCAAAATGGGCCCTCACAGTGGTATTATTATTTACGACCAGGAAACAATTCAAGGTAAGTTTTTTTTTAAAAGAATTATTTATATTGTAATGAACTGGGAAGTACTTAAGTGTTTCTGGGTGTGTATTTGTGAAGTTTTGGAGTTGCCGGTGTTGTCACATCCTCAGGGAGCCAGAGAAATAAGTGACCTATCCACCCTAGACTGTGACAGACAGGGGTCTGCAATTGAGGTGCCAACTGATCTGCTGCATGACAGGGAGCTGGAGCATATCCAAAAAAAAGGCAAGCTCTGAGTCATCCCCTGTACCAGGCTGGAGCCACACATCTCCAGGCTCCTTGGCAGTGACATAAGACTGTTCACCAGATCACCAAAGCACCCAGAAACTTGGTGTGACTACCCACCAGCATTCTCCTGTATTTTGCAAGATGGTGAGTTCTGTTCAGTTGTACTGATTTTTCACCTCACCTTCTGATAAGCTGGCAACCAAATTATCCTTCACCAATGTCATGTTTGCAGGCCACTCATGCCCAGATGTGTCATCATTTGCTGATCCCAACTTTGTACTAGCCTTGAAGATATCTAAAGTGTCAGAATCTGAGTTAGTGGCTGACTATCAGATCCAGTGATAAGCCTCTTCATCAAAACTGTGTTTTTCTTTTTGAACATAGGAACATTGAGCCTGTTCTGTCATTCAACAAGATCATGGCTGATTTCTTTTGTGTTTTAACTGCCCGATAATCTTTAGGTTCTCTGCCTAATGAGAATTTATTCATCTCTCATCCACAAGGCAAAACATCCTTTCCACATCCACCTTGTCATTTTATACATTTCAATCAAGTTGTCCCTCGCTCTTCTGAATTCCAATCGAAACAAGCCCAGCCTGTCTAACCTATCCTTGGAAGTTAACAAGTATCAATCTAATCAGCCTCCTCTGAACTGTGTCCATCTCAATTACATGTTTCCTTAAAAAGACGACTAAAACCACACATGGTATTCAAGATATGGTCCTGTATCACTGAACCACAATATCCTTACGTTTACGTTCCATTCCTCTTGTTCTAAAGGATAGGATTCCATTAGTTGGCTTAATCATTTGCTGTCCCTAACTACTCACTCTTTGTAACTCATGCATTAGAATGCCAAAATTCCTCTGTAGTTTGGATTTCTGCTCTCAGTATCCATTTAAATACACTCTACACTTCCATTCTTCCTGCCAAATTGAGCAGATTTTTGATATTTGACCACTTACTCAACCCAGCTGTATCCTTCTGAAAACTCCTTAAGTTCGATTTTACCAGAAATCAGCTCTTGTGAGGGACTGACCTATCTCCTCCCTACCTCCCCACCTACACTCACCTTTACTGGCTCCATCCCCGCCTCTTTGACCGGTCTGTCTCCTCTCCACCTATCTTCTCCTCTATCCATCTTCTATCCGCCTCCCCCTCTCTCCCTATTTATTTCAGAACCCCCTTCCCCTCCCCCATTTCTGAAGAAGGGTCTAGGCCCGAAACGTCAGCCTTCCTGCTGCTCTGATGCTGCTTGGCCTGCTGTGTTCATCCAGCTCTACACCTTGTTATCTCAGATTCTCCAGCATCTGCAGTTCCTACTATCTCTGCACTGTATCAACATTTGGATTAAGTCTGTGGTTTGCATAATTTCATGATTGCAGAAGGTAGTCCTTGTCTCCGAGTAACCATTGTTGTAAGGTATCCAGCCCTTGAAGCGAAGCAGGGACATGAGAATTCTCAAGGATATATTGCCTTGTGCATAATTCTAAGATGTAGTATTGGTGATCACAGATGACTGGCACACGGATGGAATGGAATCCTTTTCTGTTCATGAATGAGCTGTGTTGATATGGTGCTCTCAATGCAATGTGATCTATGGTGTCCTGCATCCAGTTATATTGGCAAAGCCTACTGTCTGGGCTGCAGCACTGACAATGTCATGGGGAAATGAGGTGAAGCCTCATTTCATCTGGGACATACTGGAAGGGTAACTTGATATATTTGTAGGTCAAACAATGTGAGATCTAACACAAGTCCATAGTACATTCTTACAAGCAGCCACTTGCATAAAAGTTTAGCGTAACTGTTACCTTGGCAGTCACCAGGATAGGATGGCCACCTTCAGGTCGCAGTTACCACTCCAGCAGTTGGCATAGCCCTTGGCACCTCCCCCATGACTGAAGAGGAATTAAAAATTTGGGTCAGAGTTCCTGAGATTTCCCTGTTTGTCTTCCACAGGAACCTGGGATACAACTCATCCAAACCTGAGGATCTGTCCACTTTTAAACCTGCCAAAGATCTCCAGTACATCTTCACTCCCTATATCAAGTTAGCTGATTTTCTACTATGTCTCCTACAGCAAACTGGTCTTAGGCTCTCCCATGACGGGAAATATCCTTGCAGCATTTACCCTGTAAAGCTTCTTAAGAATCCTGTATGTTTAATGAGATCACCTCTCATTCTTTTAAATTCCAATGAGTAGAGTCCTACCTGTTTAACCTTTGCTGATAAGACAATCCCTCCATATCAGGGATCATCCTAATGAACCTTTTCTGAACTGCCTCCAATGAACTAATATATTTTCTTAAACAAGAGGATCAAAACTGTTCAAAGTACTCCAGACATAGTCTCATCAGCACTTGTACAGTTGCAGTAAGACTACTCTACTCTTATACTTCAACACCTTTGAAACAAGGTCCAACATTTGTCTTGCCATCATCAGTCATAGCATAGATCATAAGAGCAGGGAAGTTATGTTGGAGCTGTACACAGTTGGAGTACTGTATGTGGCTCTGGTCACCATGCTATAGGAAGATGTGATTGCACAGGAGATCTGTCAAGAGGTTTGGGATGAAATCGTCTTAGCTATGAAGGCATGCAGGATAAATTTGGGCTGTTTTCTTTGAAGCAGAGAAGGTTGAGGGGAATTTGATAGAGGTGTATAAGATTATGGGAGGCATGGCTGGGGTCATAGAACGAAGCCGTTGAAAGGCAAATAAGGCGGAAGGCAGGAGGTTTAGATGGGACTTTAGGTAAAAAATTTTCACCCATGGGTAGT